AATTTGTAATCTGATACAGGCTTTATACTTCTACAAGCTCGCTTTCATTGTACGATTTTCCGTACGATGATCAGTCATAATTAAATCAGGATTATCAAGAATCTATAAAAGTGAGGAATTATGGACTGAATTCATATTTTTCGCGTGCGAGTTGGAAGTTTTATTGTAGAAACATTTATTGTGAATTATAAAAATTGAGCGTTTAAGGAATAAATGCAAATCGATTATATGAAAATCGTGCGGTGCAAAGAGGGCTTTTACAATGACTGGAACGAGGATTACATTATGACTCGTGATTATCACCGAGCGATTGACTCGTTTCGGACGGCGCAGCTGATATTTTTTATGCACCCGGGAACTTTCTTAGACCAATTACCGTGTAACGTATAAGATGAACGTATATAAGATTTAGCGTACCGCTAAAAACCGTACATGTAGCGACGGAATAAAGCTACTCGATATGCAATGTCTTTGAATTGAAAAATAATAGCAAGTGTGCTCGCCTTTTCGATGAAACTAGGAGAGTGCCAAATAGATTTTGAAAGTTTATACATGAGTGTGTGCAAATGCAATTGCTTGTGAGGCACATGTGTACACGTACATGTGTGCGTGTATGTTTTCTGTCACATTTTTATGGTGTACTGGCTGTAACTTCGAGAGCAGTGCTCTCGTTCGCTAAACTGATCGTTATCCAGTTATACTTTTCAAATTATTTATAATGTTAAACAATTTATTGCTTTTATTTTTATAATAAATATTTTATTAATATTTTTATAATTTAAACTAATTCGGTCGTTAGGTAAAATTTCTTTATTGAAATTATGTCGTATTCTCTTTTGTAATAAATGTTTATTTAATAATGATTACATAAAAATGTGTAGTACTAAAAGAAAATTAATAAGAAGTATGAAAATACATAATAAAACTTAAAGATCATTTCAGCGAAGTGGCTATTTATATAACGTCTGAATCGAAGAATAAAAATATAACTAATGAACGTATACAAATGACAGATATGAGAGATCTACCGAATGTGTTTTAAAGAGAGTGTATATGGTACATTTAAATAATTGTATTAATACATAGGGTATAACATTAACGGTTCTTCAATCTCTCTTAATGCATATGATTTATAAAAAAATGTTTGAAATATTATATAAAAGGTATGTAGATTTTTGCGACCATCAGTCTATTTAATATCTTTATTTTATAACATAAGTTAAATATATATAGATGATAATTAACGATTGTAATCATCATTCTTTAATATAAAATTTTAATTTAAATTACAAATATTTACAAAACAGAGGATATATTATGCATTAATTACTTTTAAAGTTGAAACAAATATGTTAATTTGATAAAATAAAACAGAGATTGAAGGACCATTAACGACTATAATATATATGGATAAGTGTACAATAATGTTAATCTGCGAGAAATCCATTGGATTTTCATTGTGAGAAAACTCGATTTTCTCTTGAATTTGTCGTCGCTCCTATTTAAGTGTGTTTGCAAATTCACAGATAATATTCTCGACCAATCTATTTGTCTATAATCATCGCATTATTTATCTGTGTAATCATGCTCGCTCTTTTGTGCGAAACGCATGTTTACAAAAAAAGAAAGATCTAACGTTTTAAAATCTACTCTCTCCTACAAA